CGCGCCCTCCCGCCACCCCTTCCCCCACCGCGGGCCCTTCTCGGGGACCCCAGCCCAGCCTGCATGCCCCTCGGACACCCTGTGGAACCCCGGCCCGTCCAGGGCCCCGCCACCCACCTCGGGACCCCAGCCCGGCCCGGTCCCCCGCAGACCCTCTTCGGGAACTCCGGCCCAGCCCGGGCTCCCCGCAGGTCCTTCTGAGGATCCCGACCCGTTCTGGTCCCCCTGCAGGTCCTTCTAAGGATCTCGGCCCGGCCCGGCCCCCCCGAAAGTCCTTCTGGGGATCCCGGCCCGGTCCGGTCTCCCTGCAAGTCCTCCTGGGGATCCCGGCCCAGCCCAGTCCTCCCGCAGGTCCTTCTGGGCACCCCAGCCGAACATTTCGGTCCCTGCTCAGACCCTCCTGGGGGGCGCAGGGCCCCCTGCATCCAATCAGGTCCTTCTGGGGACCTCAGTCTAGAGCCCCCTGACTCCACTGGGGACCCCTGAGAGCGGGCCAGTACCACTCCCCCTCCGGGGTACCCGTTCCTTCTCTGCCCCTGAGACCCTCTCCCCACTGGGCCCCCAGCTGCCCTGTCTTCTTTAAGCCTGGCCTGATTTGAGTCCAGCCGCCTCTTTTCTCAAACCTTTAGCCCTGGTCCAGCCCTGGCTTGCTTCCCTTGTCGCCTGGTCTGACCCTGTTGGGGGGCCCAGCTCCCCGGGCCTGCCTCTCTCTGATCCTGGGACCCCAGGGGCTCCCCACAGCTTTCTGGCCCTGGTCACTGTCCCTGGGACCCCAGTGCCAGTAGACCTGACTTTCTCACTTTCAGAACCTCTTCTCTCACCTGGATTCCCCACATTCTCAGACACCAGACCCCTTCTCCTCCCTTTACCTCTCCTCCGCTCTGACCCTGTTTCCCCCTGGAAACCCCATTCCCATGTCCCCTTTTCCCCCAACCTGGACCCTCCCAGTTCAGCCAGCCTCCCCTCAGACCCGTGAGACCTCCCAGGAGCCCTTTCTAAGGCATCTGTACCTCCTGGTCCCCTCACAGCCAGCCCGCTTGCCCCACCGTCTCCCCCATAACTGCCTTTCTCAGCACCTTGGCACCGTCATCCTCTCAGGAGCCTTGCTCCAAACCCAGTGGTCTTCCCATCTCACAAGGAGCCCTGGTGGCACAAGGGGTTAGGCATTGGGCTGTTCACCACAAGGTCGGTGGTTCAAACTCACTAGCTGCTCCGAAGGAGAAAGATGAGGCAGACTGCCCCCATCATGATTTACAGTCTCGGGAGCCATGGGGGGCAATTCTTCTCTGACCCCCAACACCTCCTGACCTTGTCTGAAAGCTCAGACTGGTCCGTCCCTTTGTACCTCTTTACCCCAAACCTGCATTGTGTCTCCTTCAGTACCCGGGGCTCTTCCTGCTCCCCTGCCCCAGTGCACCCCCATCAGGATCATCTCTTCTCCCTTGCTTTAGGGGTGCTGGGCCAGGTGCGGCTGTGGGGGTGACAGATGAGATCCCCATGTTTGGCTTGGCCACGCTGGGCATTCTTGGCTCCTGGTGCCGTGAGGTGATCTAGTGAGGTGCTGTGTGGCTGTGGTTTCAGGGGTTAGGGGCTCTCCTCTTCCCCACCCCCCACCCCCCACCTTTGTCTGTTCTGGCCACCCATGGCCCATAATTGTGGGGAGCCGGGGTACCAACGGATTGGATTCTTTTCTGCCATATGTGTAGCTGCCTTTCTCTAGGTAGAGGAACTGAGTGGTGGATTTCCAGAGTGGGAAGGAGCACGTTGTCTCCAACCATGTTGAGTGAAAAAACTAAAGTATATTTTCAGTCTCCGCTTCACACCAAGTTCTTCTCTTGTTCAGTGCTGCAAGGGCCAGAATGTCTGTCCCCTGCCCCCCTCAGGCCCAGGGAAGGTGTCTTAGGGTGCATTTTCCTTCCCCCTGGGATGTGCTGGAGCCTGGATGTCAGGTTGACTTCACCTCACCAGCAACCCCGTGTGCCTCACAGCAGAACTCTACGCCATGGGCTTGTCACTGACTGCTTTTTCAGAAGCAGATCACCAGGCCTTTCTTGTGAGGTGCCTCTGGGTGGGCTGGAACTCAAGGTTTTAGTTAGCAGCCGAGCATGTGTAGTGTTGTCTGGGCAGTTGTCATGTCTGAATGGAAGAGGGAAGATAAGATAATGGGAAGAGAAAGGTCCTGCTCTGGTGGACTGCAGAACAGACGCTGGTCAAGAGCTCTGTCCCCTCAGCCACTAGCACATGGGGCTGTGTAAACGTAAACCTGTCAGAATGAAACGCTCAGCTCCCAGTGGCCCCAGCCACATTCTAAGTGCTCATTAGTGTCCTGTGGCCAGCAGTCACCTTGTTGGACAGCGCACACAGATGACGGTCCCCTCGGGGCAGCAAGTGCTGGTGGAATGCCTGGCAGAAGTTTGCAAGTGAGCTGGCTCCCCAGGGCTCTGTCCTGTCCCCATCAAGAGACACAGGCTCCTGGGAGTCAGGCAGAACAGGGGCCCTTCACTACCTAGGGCGGCTGGCTGCGAGTTCCAGAAAGACCCTTGGTGTGTGGAAACTGTTTGACTCGGCCTCCCCTTTCTTCCCTGAAATGTCACAAACCTGTGAATGTCTCATTTAGGGTGTAAAGCCATAGGACTCTGCCCCTTAGTCCCCTCCCCGTTGCTTCCTTTAAGACCTTCATGCTTAGCTAGCGAGTAGGAGTTGGCGTGTCGCTCTGGGTTGTCCACTTGGCAGCATTGGAATCTTATTCTTGGTCCTAGGAAACAGTCCGTTGGTCTGGTTCCTATTGCTCCGACGCTACCCCGTCTCTACCGCTACCCCGTCTCTACCGCTACCCCGTCTCTACCGACCAGCTGTCCTCTGTGGGGTTAGTATTTTGGGGAGGTGGTGAGTGTGAGCCCTTTTGTCTGGGCGGGGTGGTGAGGATGGAGACAGGTTGGTTTGGGGTGGGGGACTGCGGACAGTGGTTGCTGAGGTAACTAGGAAGAGATGACAGCCATCTGACCAGGCAATCCCATCAGTGCAACGTAGGGACTGATCCGGGTGTCCGAAGTGGGTGGCAGACCAAGCGAACCTGAGTACTGGATCAGATCCATCGGTGCGTGTTGATGTCTGAAGCCAGTCCAGTTGCCATCAAGTGGACTCGCTTGGACTCCTGGCGTCCCCACGTGTATCCGAGGAGGACTGCACTCAGGGGGTTCAGCAGCTGGTTTTCTGGAAGCAGATCACCTGTCCTTCTGAGGCCTGGCTGGGGAGGCTTGCTAACCGCCTTCACTTAGCAGCTGAGTGCACGGACCGACAGTTCTACATAAAGGTTGAACTTGGCAACAACTGCTTTATAACCGTAGGCGCCTTGGTGGCACACACGGGGGGTTAAGGTCAGCAGTTCAAGCCTACCAGCAGCCAATCCGTGGGAGAAAGACGAGGCAGTCTGCTTCGGTAAAGGTGACAAACTTGGAAACCCTACGGGGGAGTTCTGTGCTGTCCTCCAGGGTCACTGGGAGTTGGAACCTACTTGAGGGCAGTGGGCTTACAGGCCTTGTGATGAGATTTGGCTGTTCTAGAAGCGTAAGTCTGTCTCTGATGACTGTGGCCCTCTTCTCAGACTTGGAAATGCAGCCCAGAAAGTCCAGAGACATTGACTGGGGGTAACCAGTCGGCTTCACTGAGCATCTGTGCAGTAACAGTGACGCGGACGCTCCGCTGCCACTGCTCTCACCTAGTCTGGCGCTCAGCGCTGTTCTCGGGGTGTGCAAACTCCCTGGAGAGGCACCTGCACGCTGCCCATGCCTGCTCTGCCCGCTGGACACCTGGCTGGCATAGCATAGGTATGTGCCCAGGGCCTCTTTGGGCAGCTTGGTGAGGGTCGGCCATTCCAGGTACCTGCAGTCTCCTAGGAGGGGCTGGATTTGCACATCCCCAGGGCTGCAGTTCTTCCAGGGTCTTCAGAGAGATTCTTGACAATGACCTTGTGCTCTGGAGCAGAGGGGCAGGCTGGTGAAGCTGGAGGGCGGGGTTGCTGGGTGGCCCTTGGGGCCTCAAGGCTGTCCAGAGATGCCCCACCTTCTGGGCAGGGCTGACCCAGAGGGACAGTGTAACCGAGTGAGTGTGGAGGGGAAGGTTCTGTGAAGTCGTTACTTGGTCTCGAAGGGCTTTTGGAGCACAGGTCTACCCACGCTCCATTGTTTGGTGCGGAGCCTGGTGGGGTGGGCTAAGTCACTAGGTGGAGAGGGCACCGGCCCCCCATGGGGAAACCACACCCCAATCTAACAACACCACGTGGTCCCAGAGGAGGGGCATCAGGGCATCCCACTAGAAGGGGACCAGTGGGATCGGCAGCTGTGCAGCTGGTAAAGACGTGTTCTGGTGACAGGGCAGGCTTCTGGGAGGTGAGAAGGAGCTACTGAGGAGAGATAGGGCTGGGCCTGTCTGGAGCTCCTGGGCGAGGCTGGCTCCTCGCCTTCCCGGTGCTGCACCGTTTGCAGCATAGGCCTGACTCTGGAACTGGGCACCTCGAGTGGTCCTGGCTCACAGTTACCCCGGGTGTGTCGGCTGAGTGGTGTTCCATAGACTTTTCAGTGGCCCCAGCTCACGGTTACCCCGGGTCTGTCGGCAGAGCAGGGTTCCATAGACTTTTCAGTAGATTTCCAGGCTGTTCTTCCAAGGCACCTGTAGGTGGACTCTGGCCACCTACCTTTGGGTCAGCAGCTGAGCACGTTGATCATTTATAGTGCCATCCTACCCCCCCACCCCCCAAGGACTCCTGACCCAGCTGTGCTCCATCTCTGATCCTGCAAGGTGGAGGCCTTCTGTCCAGGCTTCCCAGGCCCCCTGACAGCTTGTGTGCCCTACTATGCATGTCTTCAGGAGGGCTCTACAGGCCTGGCCACGACTTTCCCCCTTTGTTCTTTTGTTGGGGAGTAGGTTGGGGCCAGGAAGTGCGGCCAAGCCCCCCGGGGTTGTGGAGGTTCTGCAGAGCCCCTCCGGCAGCAGCAGTGCTGATGTACTGGAAGGGTTGTTAGGAGGAGGCTGCCAGATGGGAGAGTCGGGACCAGCTGCTGACACGCGATCCATTCATTCCGAGAGAGGCGCAGGCGTAACCTAGCCATCCGCCAACCTCTGGTGTAGACATCCTTCTTTCCTCAGGAGATTGCGAATTGATCTGCTTCCAGTCTTGGGGGCTAATGGACAGGGAAGGGGCCCTGGAGGATTAGAGCAAGGAGGGGACATACCCCTTGGATGTGGAATTGACTTTTGTTGTTGTCATTAGGTCCTGAGTTGATGTGACTCACAGCAACCCCTATGACGGAGTAGAACTATACTGAAGGGTTTTCTAGGCTCTCATCTTGATGGAAGTATTTCTCCTGAGGAGCCAGTGCGTGGGTTTGAACCACAAACCTTCTGGTGGGCAATTGAATGCTCAACCTACTGTGCTACCAGGGCCCCTTCTGTGATGATCAATGATTGTGAGCGCATCGTAGGAGGTGGGTGGCCAGGGCTAGGCACAGGGTGCCGCTTGTGGCTCTGGGTCACTCTGCTGGAGTATCTTGTGGAGTCAGCTAGTTTCTGTCTTCGCCGAGTGGCTTGGGGTCTGCACTCTCCTGCCGCCTTCCTTACTTCCACACTCTGCTGACTGGGTCTGTGAAGCAGCCTGTACCTGCCCCATGAAGGCCTGTGGCCAAGGCCAGCCGGCCCATCCCGGCTTCAGTACCTGCCCATGCTGCTTCTGGTGCCTGTGGGTCCCCCACTCCCGGGGTGCTGGGGCCTTCCTGCTTTTGCAAGACTGCTCTGCCACTTGTGGGTCCTGGGCAGGTATAGCAGCCACTCCAAGTGCCAGGACGTTGGCTGAGGTGTGGGCAGCTGGATAGGCGAACGAGGGGACGATTTCATCATGTAGGAGGAGCCCTGCCAGAGAAGTGCTTAAAGCTCACAGCTTAAATCTAACCAGTTGTCCATGGTACAAACCCACCAGGAGCTCCGTGGGAGAAAGGTGTGGCTGTCTGCTTGTGTAAAGAGTTAGAGCTGCAGAAACCCTCCGGGCGCTTCTGCTGTGAGTTGTAATCAGTGTGATGGCATACAACAACAACAGCAACAACCACCCAAAACTCAGCTTCCACCTCGGACTGTTGCTCTTCAAGCTGCGTGCGTCTGATCTGTTTTCACTATGACCCTCTCAGCAATTCAGGACTTCTTAGCAGGGCCGAGGCTTGCATGTGTGTTTATGGTGTATGGTGAGTGCAGCGCAGGAGAGCTCACGGTAGTGTGCTGGTTCCTGGGTGCCACAAGCAGTTAAGCACTCAACTGCTAACCGGAAAGTTGGCTGTTCAGAATCACCCAGAGGCACTTCAAAAGACAGGTCTGGCCATCTGCTTTCACAGGAGCGCAGCCTTGAAAGCCTGATGGAGCTGTTGCCCTGCACAAATGGGGTTGCCAGGAGCCCGAGCCACAAATGGTAACTGGCTTTACGTAGTGTTGCTGTTGCATGTCTCTGTGTGCACACTCTTCACATAGATGCTCATGGTTGGTTTTGCTCAGTATTTGTGTGTCTAAACCTTTAGCCCCTCATCGCCAGGCCTTTCTTCCGATGAGCATTTTCCACTTGAATGTCTCATGTTTCTATCTGCATGTCGCCCAGGCGTTTCCCCTTGTGCTGTCTGCATGTAATCCTCATCCTGCAGCCTGGAAGGTCCTCCTCCCATTTCAGGCTCCCTGACCTCCTTTCCCAGCCCCGCCCTCAGGCTGCCTCCTCACCAGTTTGTTGTTGGGTTTTTCCTCTTAGCCTGTTTCCAGACTGTAAACGGGTAGCTGGAGAGCTGTCACTCAGACACTGTTTCCTCATCTCCCCTCAGGGACCATCTCGGATCAGTCCTGTCAACTCTAAACCCTCTCCTAGTGTCCCGGCACCTTGGCTCCTTGCTGCTCGTTGAAAGTGTCAGGGAAACCTTTCTTTCCTAGCGGGGTACCTGGCTGCTGGGACCCTGTGCCCCAGCCTCACTGATCCTTCCAGACTCGAGCTACCTGCTCTTCTCTTTCATAGTTGTTGTTGTTATGTGCCGTGGAGTCGGTTCCGACCCATAGCGACCCTGTACAGGGTGTCCGAGGCTGTAAATCTTTATGGGAGCAGAACGCCTCATTTTTCTCCCGTGGAACAGCTGGTAGTTTCGAACTGCTGACCTTGCGGTTCACAGTCCGATTCGTACCCACTAACAGGTACTATATTACTGATCTGATCATCAGAAGTGTTTAAACTTCTTTACAATGCTTTTTCTTTCGTTTCTCAGTTTTCTCTTTGATGACAGTTGTAGTTAAGTGCCGTGAGTTGGTTCCGACTCATAGCCATCCTGTGCAGTGTTTCCAAGCAGCAGCTAGTGGATTTGAACTACTGACCTCCCTTGTGGTTCGCAGTACAGTGCTGCACCAGTACAGAAACCTCCACCCATTCAGCATTGTCAGTGATGTGGTTAGGTTGTTGGCATTGTATCACCCAGCCTCTCCATCCCTACACTTCTCTGTGGTTCTGTGTTGTCTTCGGCAATTTGAGGCTCTATCGGTAGCTCTTTAAAAGAGCACACTGCTTCAGGGGCACGTTCTTTACAAGTTGAGCTCGACTGTGGTTTTGCGTTTAAAGATGATTTCCTGGGAGAGCTTTAGTCCAAGGCATAAAGATGGGTCCAGGGGGTTCATTCAGTCTGGTTTCTATAAGGATCTGGAATTTCAGGGTCTGTACTTCCACTTGTGCTCAGGATCCTGCTATTTTGGGTCCTTGATGAGAATGTGCAGTAACAATAGCCGGGCTCTTCTGGGCTTGTGGACCTGGAGAGGTGGAAACCACCCTTCTTTGGATAGTTGGGTCCTCCGTCCTGGAAAGCTGACTGGGCAGGTGCTCAGGTGTCACTAATCGGGTGCCTGCTGCCACGTGCCAGGTGTCCTGACAAGGACAAGCAGCCCAAGCCCTGACCTCAGACCTCACCAGCCATTTGGGGTAGGGTCCAGGAAACAGGCCTGTGGAGTCCTGGGCACACTGTCAGAGGGCACGGGGGCAGCCGTATGGAGTTGAATGTGCGTTTCTGCAGAGGCCCACAGCGGACTTGAGTTTGCAGCATGGAGCCTCGGGGGGCTCTAGAGCCAGGACCACTAGGCTGAGGAATAGCAGCAACAGAGGCAGATGGGGAGTGGCATTGCTGGTGTGGGGGGGGTGGGAGTGGTCATCTTTTTGATGTAGGAGTCACTTGTGGTGCAGAAGGGATTCTGGTGGCCCGTGTGTAGTGCTTAAGTGCTTGGCTGCTAACTGAAAGGTCAGCAGTTCAAACCTACCAGCTGCTCCAAGGGAGAAAGACCTGGTCATCGGCTTCTCTAAAGATCAGTTCTACTCTGTCCTTGGGGGCTGCTGTGAATTGGAACTGATTCATTGGCAGTGGGCTTGAGGCAGTGCAAAAGGTTAGCGCTCTTGCCGTTCACAGGAAAGTTGTGGTTCGAGCCCACCCAGACAGAGACTCACTAGAAGAAAGTCCTGACACCTCCTTCCGAACACTCAGCCGTTGGAAACCCTGGAGCGTACAGTCCCACTTCCCTGGTCTCCATCCATGGGCGGGCTGGAGTGGGACTTAATAACCGTTAGCTGTTTGTGGTAACCGGACATAGGAATGGGGAAGGAGCCCTGGTTGTACAGCAGTCAGGCGCTCGGCTGCTAACTGAAAGGTTGGGGGTTTGATCTCACCCAGAGGCTCTACAGAAGAAAAGACCTGGGCTATCTGCTCCCATCCAGATAGCAGCCAGGAAAGCCCCCTGGGGGTCACTCTGAGTCCTACAACAACAAACTGTGTGTGGTCACTGTTTCCTCAGTCAGGGACCTCTCCGCTTAATCCGCGTGGCTTCGTGCAGGTGTGTGCAGAAGTTTGCACACCTGAGCACGTGACAGCATCACTAGGGGCGTGGGGGCGGGCGAGTCCCAGAAGAGCTGGGCGGTGTGGCTCAGAGGACATCGCCCGCAGTGGCGCAAGTCCCACCTGAGGTGGTTAACATTCCAGAGAGCCCGGTCTTGGGGAGCCGTGACATAGGATGCTGTGGTCCCCCAGTGCCGCTGGTGGGTGAGGGGGTAGGAAGAGCTGGTACTGCACTTTCTGGGATGGGGGTGGTGATGGGGCCTCCTTGGCCTCCTGAGCTCTTGGGAACAAGTGTTCACTTGGCCCAGTCGATATTTGTGGCTATCTTGGACTTGATACCAGGTGTGTGTGTGGGGGGGGAAGGGCGGTGTCTGGAAAGAGTGGGAGGGTTGTCAGCACCAGAGTGGATGCTTCCATTTTTTGGCCTTCCTGTCGGTGACACTGACCTCAACTTAGAAGGGTGCCATGGGAGTCACTTGGCTTTAGGGAGTGTCTACCCTGCCCATCAGGGAGGGAGTGTGGCTTCTGAGGCCGCAGCCCACCTGTGACAGTCACCAGTAGCTGGATGTACCTCTGCGTCCTGGTTGGGAGTCACTGAAAGCTGGTGTTTGCCGATGGTGTAGGATATGTTCCCAGGAAGAGTTCTGAGGATGATGGGCGACGAACATGCTGTGATCCTGGGACGCAGAGTGGCTGAGGGGTCAGTTCCTTGCCGTGCTCTTCGTCGTCACAGAGGCCATCGGAGATTCTTGTGACAGATTCGACAGTGTAGGGGTGTAGGTGGGCCCTGCAGATGGTGCACTCGGCTGCTAACTGAAAAGGGGACTCAGAAGGAAGGGATGGTGGTCTGCTTCTGAAAAAGTAGCCATCAGAACCTCTGTGGGGTTCAGTTCCACTTTGACGCATGTGGGGGCACCGGGAGTTGATGGTGTGCCAGGGAATGTCTGCCATGCTGAAGAGTAACCGAGAGGGATGCAGGGGGATGGTTAAGGAGGTGCTTGGCAGGTGGCCATTGAGCTGAGACCTCCTTCCCCCTGAGGGCCCTGGTCAGCAGAGGTAGGAGGGAAGTGGGCCTGCCTGGGAGCCAGCGCACAGAGGGGGACTGGAGACTGAGAGAACTTCCTGTGGGCTTCCCTGGAGGTCCTGTGTATACAACCTCCCCTGCCATAGGCTGCAGAGCCCTGGTGGGGCACTGGGTGAGTGCTCAGCTGCTAACGAGCGGATCAGTGTGGCTCCACAGTGGAAGACCTGGTAGTGAGCTCTGTAATGCTGAGAGCCTAGGAAACCCTGTGGGGCTGTTCTGCTCTGTCCCCTGGCATCACTGAGGCAGAGCTGACTGGCCAGCACCCAGTAGCGGCACAGACAGGGTGGCCCGTGAGCACCCGGGAGCTGTTAGCGTTCTTCCTGTGGGTTTGGAGGTGCCACTTGAGTGTCTCTAGATTGGACGTGGCCCACGTGGCATGAGCACTCTCCCATCCTACTTCTCTCCCTACAGTGCACCGTCCAGGTCAAGTTAGAGCTGGGACACCGCGCCCAACTGCGGAAGAAGCCCACCACGGAGGGTTTCACCCACGACTGGATGGTGTTTGTCCGCGGCCCCGAGCAGTGTGAGATCCAGCACTTCGTGGAGAAGGTGGTCTTCTGGCTGCACGACAGCTTCCCCAAGCCCAAACGTGGTGAGTGGTCCCAGCCCCGCCATCCTGACCTGCTTGCTGCACCCCTGGTCCTACGCAGATATGGCCTAGCTGGAAGGCAGCTGTGCTGCGTGTAAACTGCTCTTCCCTTTCCCCCTCTACTCGGAGAGCTGGAAGCTGACCTTGCCCTCTCCTGGGGAACTAATGGCAGGAAAACTGAGAGGACACAGGCCGTCTCTCATGTCAGCACCCAGAGCATGTTGCCTGTTCCCTTTAGCCCCAGACGGGAAGAGTGACTTAGTCCCAGCCGTGAGCAACCAGGAAGTAGGGACTTTTCAGGATTCAGGCTGTCTGGGCCACAGAGGGGTTCGCTCCCCACTCACCCCGTCACTTCTGAGCAGCAGAGCCTCCTCACACACTCAGCAGGTGCCTGACTTCCTGTGGCCCAGCGGTCCCAGCCTCATGGAGGTTTGCAGGATGTGTCTGATGGGTGGGGACTAGGGGGATGATCTAGGTGACTATGTGTGAGTCCCGTGACGGGCGGGGGTGGGGGAGAGTGTCTCCAGTGTTCAGCATAGGCCCTGGCACCACGACACGGCTGAGTGGCTGCTGATATGGCCACATGGACAGAGGAATGAGGGACTTCCTGCTGGGTGACAGGCCCTGGCTCAGGTAACCACAAGCGAGAGCCCTGCTGGCCGAAGTGGCAGCATGCACAGCTTGCCTGCACATGGCTTCCAGTTTAGAGGGGACTGGAAACTCCTCATTTCTCCTTCATTGACTCTGCACCATCACCGCCTTCTTTCTTTTCTTCGTTCTGGTCCCTCCTGGAGGACAGCAAACAGGGTTGCAGATGACAGATGTTGTAATAAGAAGGCAGTAGTGGTAATCCAAGGAGCTCTGGTGGCGTAGTGGTTACTAGCTGGCCTGCAAACCTCAGGGTCAGCAGTTTGAAACTCCCAGCAGTTCCGCGGGAGAAAGATGAGACTTTCTGCTCCCATAAGATTTACAGCCTCGGAAACCCTGTACAGAGTCTCTACAAATGAGAAAGGACTTAGTGGCACATAATCACCACCAACCAGTGGTGGCTCAAGGAGCCCTGGTAGTGTAGTGGGTTACATGTTGGGCTGCTAACTACGAGGTCAACAGTTCAAATCTACAATCCACTCCATGGGAAAAAGATGAGGTTTTCTGCCACTGTAAACATTCACAGCTTCAGGGTTGCTCTGAGTCGGCGCTCACAGCCACCACCACTACCAGGGGCGGCTGCTTGTAGAATCCTCACCTGCCTCGTGGGAGACCTGGCTCCGTCCCCGGCCATCACCCAGCTGACTGGAGGCGCCGTGTGTGGTGTGATCCTGAGCAGGCTGCAGTGGAGTGAGTGTCCAGACTAAGACAGGAAGGAAGAAAGGCCTGACTGCAGACGTGCAGAACTCAGTCCATGAAAACGGTCCACTCTGTGACTGATTAAGGGGCCAGTGTAGGACCAGGCAGGGCAGCATTTTGATCCGTTGTGCCCAGTGTCACCATGGGTCCCTGTTGACCCAGAAGCAGCAGCTACAATAGCCAGAAGGAAAGCCATTAATCAAGCGCTCACTGCAGGTTCTCTGCAGGTTCTTGCTTCATTCTCCCAAAACCTCGCCACCCTTGGCAGTTTCCACATCTGTGAAGACGTGGGAACAAGCTTTGAGGGCACCATGAGCTGGCTCTGCTGGAAATTGTGACTCAGCCACCTCTGGCCTCAGGTTCAGACCTGCCCACTGCCTGTTTTCATTGGAACACCAAACCATTTGCCACCAGGTCAATCCTGACTAACGGGGATGCTGTGTTTCCACGCAGAACTGTGCTCCATAGGTTTTCGTGGCTGTGACTTTTTGGAAGGAGAAATTGCCTCTGGGTGATTTCAAACCATTAATCTTTCAGGAAGTAGCTCAGTGCTTAACTGTTGATGCCACCCAGGGACTCCTTATTGGAGCATGGTGTCGTTGTTGGGTGCTCTTGTGTCAGTTCCTATAGCGACCTCATAGGGTTTCTAGTCTGCCATCTGTACAAGAAGAGATCACCAGGTCTTTCTTCTGAGGTACTTTTGTTGTTGTTGTCAAGTGCCGCTGAGTTGATTCTGACCCATAGCGACCTTGTATAGGGTTTACAAGGAGCTTGAACCACTGACCTTGCAGTTCAAACGACTTTGCAGTCGCCCACAGCGTCACACCAGGACTCCTTGGAGGGCTAGAATGACTTAATTGTTATTAAATAATGATTATTCTTTAGTAGCCCTGTACATAACCGGGGGCCGCAAAGGAACTCCTCTGTGGGGCACAGGCACACACATTCGTGCCTGTGGGGTTGGCACAACCACAGAACAGCGCAGCATGCACTGGTTGTCACTCTGCTTGGCACCTCTTTTCCCTCCCGTTGACTCGTCCCTGGACGGTGCCTCCCCTCTCCTGCCTATTCTCTTACCGGCTCACTGAGCCTGGCCTGTTTACCTCACCCTGTTCCCCACCACTCCATCGGTCGTGTGCCGCGTGCCTCCCCGGTGTGAGGCTCTAGCAGCTCCTCCTGCAGCCTGGTGAGAGGATTTGGAGGCTGAGGGTCAGAGTGGCCTGAATGGACCAGGACATAGCAACTGCTTCAAGCACACCCATGCCTCAATGCCCCTGCCCTCCTGGGCAACTTTTGGGGAATGAGGCAGCTCTGCTGGGGCCCAAATAGCAGCTGTCCGTGAAAAGGGGACCGGCTTAGAAAGAGAAATAGATTTCTAACAGAATTCCAGTCTCTGGGTTTCTCCTTTATGTATCTAAACACAATCGTAATTTTATCACCTCTGGAACAACTGGAGGTTGTCACGGTCTCTACTGGTGACCTCCCATGTCAAAGTGTAGAAGACAGCTGGGCTCCCCCAACCCATGTGATGGAGCAGAGGTGCCCTGCGGGCTCCTAGGCCCACCACCCGCTCCTCAGAGACCCTGTACAGGCTCACTGTGGGTCGGAACTGAGTCAACAGTAACAGTGTTTACAGGAGCAGATGATCAGGCCTTTGTCCTGCAGAGCTGCTGTGTGGGTTAGAACTGCCAGCCTTTCAGTTATAACTCAGCACTTAACCATTGTGTTACCAGGGCTCCTGGAGAATACCAAACAAACGCATTGCATTTGA